AAAATCGCCAAGAAAACACACACACACACACACACACACACACACACACACACACACACACACACACACACACACACAAAGGCAGAGTGTTATTATGAGCCACAAGAAAATCAAACACTTAAAGCCAACATTTAGGGTAAACTGCAATAACAAAATGTTGCACAGCACTAAAAAGCACAAGATTCTTTATATTTAGGATTACTTAATTTTGTTAAATAAACAAACATTACATTGTTTGTTTGTTTTAAAGATAAACTGACTTTTTGGATGGAATATTTAAATAAAATTAACCCAGATTGCAAGGAATTACTTATTACACTTTCCATTACTTGGTTTAATGCATGGCATAAGACAACGCACACGTGAACCTCCATGTTAAAGACACTCAAATGACTGAACTTATCAATGCAGTGACCTTTAAAACTGCAAACAGCAAACACCAATCATGTACAATAGTTATGCATTAGGCATGAAGTCAAAATACAACATACAGAAGCATTCAACAGCCTTGATGCATGAAAGGACTTTTCTGCGTGGGTCTGATTTCTAAGCCTATTTAATTTGCATTCATCAAAATAATACAATATGTTAAAATGTTATAAACCTACAAAAACCATTGGCAGTCTTATGAATTATTTAAAACCATATTTCAAAGATTTTGATCATTCTTTATGCGCATAAAATAAATACTTAACAGTAATGTAGACTGAAAAAAATGAGCTATCACTCATTTAATTGATGAATTTGTATTTTGCGCGTGTACTGTATAACGCTCGCTGTTAATTAGTGCTTAATTCATTTGGTATGCTTGGTGGAGATGGACTATTGTTCTCATAGTGCGGGAAATAAAAGGAAAAGCCAAACTAAATACAGCTACAAACTTTTGGATTTTCTGTCAATGGCTGGATGAGAAAATGGATCAAACAGCATATGTACAGGTCTGCTATGATTGGCTGGTTTTAACTGATAACTGTGAAGTATTTGTGATTGGCTGACTCCAGAGAGGGCTGTACCTACATGAGAGTGAGGTGTTTATAATTGGATAGTTCCAGAGGGACTTGCGTGAACTGGTTGCCATCGAGATAGCTATCAGAAAAAGACAAACAAGTTATTACTCAAACGCAGAGGAAATAGCACATTAGCAACAGTGTAATAGGAGAAACTTCAAAGACGTATATATAGCAGCCGTGTATTGTTTCAGACGTCAAGTATGTGGTTGGAGACAGCTGGGTTTACAAAAAACGTGTGCCTGGATCCGATAAGGGGATTTTTTAAAATAGCCATTTATTATGAAATTGCTGCGAGGTTTGTGGCCATAGTGTGTTTGTGCACACTCACAGTTCTGTAACGTCTTTAGGAATGCCTTTGGGTAAAAGCTTAAGTCCTTTATTACTGCAGCGAACCACCGTATCCAAACACGAGCACTCGGCAGGACAGCGAGCCAGGGGCGAACAGCTATTCTCATCATTACCTGCACACACACAGAGAAAATTAATCAGCATGCTAATGTTCTCATTTATCACATGTCGAGAATGATCTGAAATGAGCTTTCTGATGTGAAGATATGCAGGGGTTTTTGTAAGCTTGCCTGGAAAGATAACACTGCATAGCAGATCTTATCAGAGCCCTATTAAGAGCTAGAAACAAGATCTTCTTACACACATGCATATGTATTAAACACCCCCACACACACTCATAGACATACCGTCTTCGCAGGCAAAGTCTTGAATGGCTACATCTTGAATAGGGATCTCCTTAAGAAAGTATGGGCTCTGACAGCGAGGATTTCCCGTAACGATCCGTTTCTTACGGAGCCATTCCCCCAGCCAGGCCAGATGACAATTACAGTTAAACGGATTAGCCAGCAAGTTCCTGTAAGAACATATAATGGAAAAATTATGCAGCGAATATTTAGCAAAAGCTTACAACCGAATGCTATGTTTGAAAACCTAATGAGCTGCCCATGGAGGCACACTACCGTCTTAAAAAGGCAGACAACACTAAAGGGGTCATGAATTGAGAAATCAAGTCATCCTTGATCTTTTGGTCATTGTGCTATAAAACATCCAGTAAGTTTCAGAATTCAAAACTTTCTTGTTAGTCAAAAAACAGCTTATATTGAAGGCAAGCTGCTAAAACGACTCGTTTCTGAATTTCTCACATTATCACATCATATGAAAGCCTGCCTCTGCAGAAGAAGATCAATGCCTGTTTCTGCATCACTGCCTCTTTAGCAGCGGAAAAACACAGTCTTTGCATCGCCTTCCTTCTGATCCCAACATTAGGAAAGAGTGGATGAACTTTGTTTTTTATTACGTCAGTAAGTCCTTTGTTCACTTCATTTTCTCACGGATACATGTTTAAATGAGACATAATTCGACAGGATTTTCAGAGAGCTTGAAACTAAAAGACGATGCTGTGCCGACTATATTGGATCAAATAAAGGACAGAAAATATCCTATTACTTCTAAATGAATCCAACTACAAGAATTACATTTTTGGAATCTGATTACGTAATCCAGATTACATGTAATTAGTTACTACCCAGCACTGAATATAATTATGGAGTGAAGGGGCTATTTAGATGAGGATGTTCCCTTAGAAGACAGTCACCTATTTAGGCAGCTAACTCGGTTTTGGAACAGTGCTGAAACAAAACAAAACACTTTGTTGATACTCTGGTTTGATACTCACAGTGTTGAGAGGGAATGCAGTGTGTCAAAGGCTCCCAGGGACATGGAGGTGATCAGGTTATCATAGAGGGAGAGCAGCCTCACAGAGCTCAGACCAGTAAAACTGCTGTTATTGACACAGCTTATCTTGTTACTCCTCAACATCCTACACATGACAAACACACACATACAATCGTTTAAAACAGCCAGAAGCTCCAAATGAGATTCGGTTTCGAAAACACAAACCAAGGTGCACACACCAGAGAATAGAATCATACCTAGATACACATTTTGCATGCACGGTGCACGCACTACCCTGAAGTTCAATCAAGTTATTCATTGTGCAAGCATGTGATACTCACAGTGTGCGGAGACCGCCGAGGCCTTTCAGCATGCTGTAGTGGACGCTCTCTAAGCGGTTGCTCGTCAGTATGAGTTCATTCACTCCACTGGCCCCCTCAAATGTGCCCTCCTCAATATCTGTGATCTTATTGTTACTGAGGTTACTGTAAAACAAAGCAAGTTGCCAAGGTAATTTAAGTGATGGTCGCCTAAACTGTGTAATGACAGATAACAAAGACACAGAAAGAGACTTACATTTTGCGCAGTTGAGGAAGCTTCTTAAAGATTCCTGTAGCCTCCAGCACTGTAAATTCATTATTGTTCAAGCGGCTGCATGGAAAACAAATCAAACACACAACACGCAAGTAAATTATTTATTGATGAATGAATCTGTATGCTTTTATATGTTTATAAGCAGGGATGCACATACTCTAAGTGGTGCGCAGGTGCGACCAAAATAAAAATGCGCTGGGTAAATAAGTTCAGAGCACCATTTAGATCGACTAACTGTAATACTGCATAAAATTTCCATTCGAACTGAAAGCATGAATCTTGGCAAAACGTGAAACTGTGACATTTCATTCACTGACGTGCTTCACTCGGCAGAGCTAGCTAAAACCAGCAGCACATATATGTGACCCTGGTTTGTTAGGATAGGACAACATTTGGCTGAGATACAACTATTTGAAAATCTGGAATCTAGATAAAAAAAATCTAAATATTGAGAAAATCATCTTTAAAGTTGTCCATATGAAATTCTTAGCAATGCATATTACTAATCAAAAATTAAGTTTTGATATATTTACAGTAGGAAATGTACTAAATATCTCCATGGAACATGATCTTTACTTAATATCCTAATGATTTTTGGCATAAAAGAAAAATGTATAATTGTGACCCATACAATGTATTTTTGGTTATTGCTACAAATATACCCCAGCAACTTAACACTGCTTTTGTGCTGCAGGGTCACATATTTACTTGCTGGCAACCCACCAAAATAAAAGCTTGCTGATTTTAGGTTTGAAAATTATGAAAATTCATATAAAAAAAGGAATAAATGAAAATGTAAAAATTAGCATTGTATTTTTAAGTGTACTATAAAATAATTGTACTTTTTATTTCAATTAAATTTACTTTATTTAAAATAAAAACAAAATAAATAAAATGCGATAACACTATTATTACTATTATGAATTATATTATTTTTTTGTAGTTATATTTAATGGGCCACACTATGTGCAGTGTGAGCACCAAACCAAATCTCCAGGAGCTCTCATGAGAACCAGACTGAAAAACTTATGTGCATCCCTGTTTATAAGTAATAATGTATAGCAAGGTTGTGCACCATTCACAATTTAACACAAAGCTTAATTTAATTTAATTGTATTATTTCGCCTCTTTATTAACAAACACTATTTTTGTAGTGTTTTTTGTAGTGGATGACTGGATGCAAATATATGTTTATAGGGATAGTTCACCAAAACATTCTGTCATCAATTATTCACCATGACGTTCTAAATCCATAAGAACCATAAGAATTATTATTTATTGTATTAAATAAACACTAGACTCAAGCGCCTTAGTGTGTTTGCTCATCTAACAACTTCATGTATAACCATCATACTGTATTAGTAGTTTGATTTAAACACATGCCAAGTTCTTAGTATTCATGTTGTTTTATATATCATTTTTAGGAAATGCATACATTTAATTACTGTAAAAACATTTATTAAATGTCTAAATATATTAAAAGCATTTTAAAGACAATGTCATTTTTTAATGAGGCATATTCTTTATTAAGATAGCAGGATATCTGTTTTATCCTGACATTTGAATTTTCAAAACATCAATTCAAATTGAAATGTAAACTATTTAAAAGTTTTGAATTTTAATCAACTGCTGCTGGGTTTTTTTCACAATAGAAGAGGCATATTCAAGTAACTGTATGTGTGAACTGCGTTTATAATGTATTTTTGAATAAATTATTAGATTCTGACTAAAAAAAAAGAGCATTGTCATTTACCCACGTGCTACACAAGAACACAGCACCATTTTGTGTAGCTCTTCTTTGCAAATACAGCAAAAAAAAAAACTCAAAGCAGAACACTTGTGTACTTCAGGCAGTCTGTTTCTCTGGATCTTTAATTGTGCACAAAAGTTTTTTTTATCTGTATGATAATATGCATGTAATTTGCATGCATTAGTGTATTAGTCCAAATGTTTTTATGCAGTACACACACAGACTAAATGTTTAGTAGCTGAACATACCTGGTATAAAATATTGTTCTTTAGCTAAACAAAGAGAGATACACAGAGAACTGAGAGGAAAGCTGTGTGTGTGTGTGTGTGTGTGTGTGTAAATCAATAAATGAATATGAATATTGATCAGAGAATCCTGCTCATTTATAACTCCACAGCGATCAATACTCAACTGACAACCACTAAACTAATAATACCCCCCCTCCACACACACACACACACATTTGCATTCTGATTTATAATCTGCTTACAGGAGGAGATAACTCATTCTGAGACCCTCAGAACTGTGTCGTATAAGTGAAAGCTGACTAAGATGTTTCCACCTCTAAACACACACACACATTCCTGACACTAAAGTCCAAGGTCAGGAACAGACCGGAAGAGTAGGGTCAAACAACTCAGCGTCTGCAAGCAAGTCTGGCAAATTACCAAAAATGACACACATGCGTGTATGTACCTGAACAGCGGAACTTTTTGCTCTTGATCTGGCCGATGCGTTTGTTAGCAAGGCGGCGGGGACTGGTGCATCGAGCTCCGCTGGTCTCAATCGGGTTGTCTTGCAGGTAGTCAGCTAACCACTTCAAATGGCAGTCACACATGAAGGGGTTCTGGGCCAAATGACTGATAAATATAAAATATTTAAGAAAATTATGAATGACGGTCATAGTTAAGGTGTGCTATTTCTTGACAAACCAAATAGAGTACACTCAAATTTTTGACCAGCCTGAAATATGACTGAATGGAATTGCTCATACATGGGCCTAATATTCCATACCAAGAGTTGTTCAAACATGACATTATAAAGAGATGATATTTATACAACCAAAAAATTTATTGATTTATAAAATTTGCACTTTTGTTTTATTCCTTAATGTTTAAAACAAGAGCTTTCAATAAAATAAAATGATTGATTTCCAACCAGTCTTTAGAAATCAATAACACCAAAAATCAGTGTATACTATATATATATATTTTTTTTTTTTTTTTGTAACTTACTAGCAACTTTTTTTTTTAACTTACTAGTCAAGTAGTCTAAAAGTAAGAACCCCTCAGAAGATAGTCAAAAACAATGTGTGTATATGTGGTCCATCTGAAATACTTAAACTATGAATCAAAGTGTTAAATAATTCTAGATAACTTATTATCTGAATTGTTCTTATTTTATTTTCCATCAGTTAAAATGTACAACACTGATGGCAACAAAAGCAGCAGATGGGATGAATGAAAATGCCAATTCACTCTTGCAAGATATAATGTATTCTTTTGTTTTTGTTGTTGTTTTCTGAAATCTTAGCTACAGCAGAGTGTCAATCATTTTGCAACAAGTGTTACTTAGAGTAACTCACAGTGTTTGGATGGCTCGGAGAGAAGAGAAGGTTCCCTTTACAATGGTCTGGAGTTTGTTGTCATAAAGTGACAGAAGATTCAGATTCTGCAGGTCTTGGAAAGAATCTACGCGCAAACAATTGATCTTGTTCGCATTAAGCAACCTGTTGGGATAAACATTTGCATGTGACATTTTACACAAATCTCTCAGACAAACCGGAAAATCTATACATGCATTGTAAATTGAGATATTATAAATGCCATTCGCAAATAGATTAACATTTCTAGACAAACATATGAGCGAAAAAAATCCCTATGGTCTCCAGACTCATTTACAGTGCCTTATAGGAGAACAAAGTTGTGAATAAACAGAGGATTTATTTTACAAAGCAGCTTACGTATAAACAGGATTTATATGTTCTGCATCTCCTGCAAAGCAATTAATCTGTGTGTGTGTGTGTTGTGAGTTATTGGCACCAAACTTTTATATTTGTGAGCATAAACAAATGTGAGTTTCACATGTTAGTTATTTCTGAATATTTTACGAGTCTGCAAAAGTGAGAGGGAGTAGATTCACTTTCGAACACTGTCTGAGCGCGTGTGTGGTTGTAATGTTATGTAGTAGCACCAAATGCTTATTAAAACCCTATAAATACTTGGATTAACAAGCATTTCCTAAACATACTCCTCACACCCACATGCACTGACTGGCACACACACACACACACACACAGGTTTGTTTTTATGGTTTGTGGGGACTCTCCATAGGCGTAATGGTTTTTATACTGTACAGACCGTATATTCTATTGCCCTACACCAACTCTACCCCTAAACCTACCCCTCACAGGAGACTTTCTGTATTTTTAGATTTTCAAAAAAACTAATTCTGAATTATTTATAAGCCTTTTGAATTACAGGGACACTGAAAATGTCCTCATAAATCACCTTCTCGTTGTAATACCTGTCATACCCATGTTATTATACAAATTTGTGTCCTCATAAACCACATAAACATGCACACAGGTTTCTATGTTTTATGGAGTCATTCCATAGACATAATGGCTTTTCTACTGTACAAACTATATATTTTTATCCCCTTACCCTAAACCTACCTCTCGCACAAAACTACAGGCATTCAAAAAACATAATTCTGCATGTTTTCCTCATAAGGACCAAAAAATGTCCCCAAAAGGTCACAAAATTACTGGTATGACTATACTTGTGGAGCCATTTGGTCCCTATAATGTAGGTAATACCAGGCGCGCACACACACACACACACACATACACACACACACTTGTTTTTTCTATCATGATGTTAATATCTATTGTTTTTATACTGAGCTAGGGACGTCAAAAGTACCCATACCACAACTTTGGTACAAAGTTGATACTAAAATAAATAAAATTCTTGTCTTGGTAGGATATTCATGTAAACACGTTTGGTTAGGTATAAGATCTGTGTCAAAATATCAGAGTATAAATGCAGCCTAATGTACTTTCCACTGTCTGGTATGTCATTAATATTCATTTAAATGTCAATATTGAAAATGCAAAGAGAAAAATCACTGCTCTTTCCACCCTCTTTATTACTGATTGTTATTTGAAGCAATGCTGACATACTAAGAAATACTGGTAAAGCTTTACAATAAGGTGTTTAACAGCATATCCATTTATGCAGTGGTATTTAAGTTGATATGGAGAATTATTGGTATTGATATAAAAAATGTTGGTCTCTTGACAACTCTGTACTGAGCTAATGATATTTCCCCTCACACAAGGCATTCTGCATTATTGGATTTTAATTAAGTCATTATTTAGTAGGTTTATTAAGCCATTTTTCCAATGGCTGGTGCTCAGACTTGGCAGAACCCGACCCACCCACACACAGAGAGAAATAAACTCCCTTCCTTCATGGCATTTTCAAGCATAAATTCATAGAATGTGCATTACTCACAGTAGCTGCAATGAGAATAGTCCGTCAAAAATGCCTTTGGGAAGTTCACTGATTTTATTCCCATATAAAACCCTGAAAGGCAGAAACACAAGGGAACATCAAATAAAAGCAAAGATTAAAGATGTTCATTACCCACCCACACACATAACCATTCATCAGAAACGGTTCACTCCCTTCCTTCATGGCATTTTCAAGCATAAATTCATAGAATGTGCATTACTCACAGTAGCTGCAATGAGAATAGTCCGTCAAAAATGCCTTTGGGAAGTTCACTGATTTTATTCCCATATAAAACCCTGAAAGGCAGAAACACAAGGGAACATAAAATAAAAGCAAAGATTAAAGATGTTCATTACCCACCCACACACATAACCATTCATCAGAAACGGTTTCTCAAACAGAGCACAAGATGCACCACCGGTGACGAATCATATTTAAACACAAATGAAATAATCATATGGATCCAGATTGATGAGGTAAAATCACAAAAAGCATGTGGACAATAATCTTCTTATTATGAATACGATATATCAATCTCATATCATCTCATGTTCATTACTTTATCTTAATGGTCCATAACTCTACGCAAACTGAGGTTGTGGTAAAAATGGGTGAGGAATATTAGGAAATTCAAGACTAATCTGAAAGAGCCATGCAGGGCTAAACATTTCTTGGCGTTTTTATTTTAGAATGAATAATGGCATTGTGGCGTTGGCTATATGCTGATATCCTACATATGTGCAGCCCACACAGAAAGCGCCACGGATCTGGAACAGTTGTGCTTTTGTATGTTTATTCATTAAATATTTTGACTAATTTGATCCTTCTTTCAGCTACTAATCAGTGTGTAGCACACATAACTCTGTTTAACAGGCAGATTTCCCCCCAAAATCAGCATCTAAAATGTTCTGTCTGAGCTTGCATTTGAAGTATTTCATTACTGTGATGTCACATCAGGACTTGCATGTGTGTGTTCGCTTATGTTTCACATTGGATCACTCTTCTGGCCTGAAGTTGTATTTTTTCAGCAGGAGAGATTTGCAATGGCTGGCTGGTGTTCCTAAGAGGCTGGTCCGAAGGGAACGAGAGAGAGAGGGAGAATTGATCCGCCCACTAAGTTCTGGCTCATTGGAACCCGGTCAGTAAAGAAAACCAAAGAAAACACACAGACCACGCAAGTAGGACATATACATCCCATCCCCCTAAAACACACACATCTGCACACTGAAAATGCCAGGCCAAAACAAATAGCTTAACATATTTGAGCAAGAGCTTATATTAGTGTGTTTCATATTCTAAGGCTTTAGCCATATACAGTCTTTAGTCTTGGAGTTACCAAGCTTACTTGCTTTTTCTTAAATTGGTCATGCTTTTATTTATGAACCGATTTTCACTGTTAACTATGACATTTGCCTCAATAAACTCCTAATTTGCTGCTTATCATAGCAAGGTAGTTGGTACGTTTAGGTATGGGGTTGGATTAAGGGATCTAAAATATGCTCATGCAGAATAAGCTATTAATATGTGCTTTATAAGTACTAATAAACAGCCAATACACTAGTAATATGTACGGAGCTCTGCACATGGCATGCAGCACATTTTTTTTAGGCTAAATTGTGCACACGATTTATAAATCGAGAGAACAAAATGGTAATCCTGTGCACGGTTTAGTACATCGAGGGAACGAATTAGTAAATTGCGTGCGTGTGTGTGTGTGTGTGTGTGTATTTCTGACCTAACTATTTCTTTATGGATACTCTCCAGTCCAGAAAGATATTTAATAATTTCACAAAATAATATAAAAGTTATTAATATTAACAAAATAAATAAAACAAATTTATAAATAAATATACTATACTATACTACACTATAATATATTATAATACAAAAGTTGTGTTTTACTATACAGTATTGTGCTCTAATTTTATATTATTAATATGATACCTTATATATGGGGATTGATATATTGAATATATTCAAATGTTTTTTCCCCCCGTTTCTATATTATATGTATTATTATTATATGTATTACAGAACTTGGAATTTCCTATATTATATGTATTAAGAATATAATATAATATAATATATAATAAACATAGCCATAACAACATAACATAACATAACAAGTATTAAAACAAAGTATTAAAAGAATATAAGTATTTTAGGAGTATTTTAGTTTAGTATATTGTAATTATAATTAATTATATGTATTATTATTATATGTATTACAGAACTTGGAATTTCCTATATTATATGTATTAAGAATATAATATAATATAATATATAATAAACATAGCCATAACAACATAACATAACATAACATAACAAGTATTAAAACAAAGTATTAAAAGAATATAAGTATTTTAGTTTAGTATATTGTGATTATAATTAGTATAATGTGTGTGTGTGTGTGTGTGTGTGTGCGTTTTTGTGACATATGAGGACACAAATTTGTATAATGACATGGGTATGAAATAGGTATTACAAGGAGAAGGTAACTTATGAGGACATTACCCCATGTCCCCATTTTTCAAAATGCTTATAAATCACACAGAGTGAGTTTTTTTGAGAAAGTAAAAATGCACAAAGGGGGTAGGGTTGGTGTAGGGCAATAGCACATACAGTTTGTAGAGTATAAAAACCATTAAGCCTATGGAATGTCCCCACAATTCACAAAAACAAACCTGTGTGTGTGTGTGTGTGTGTGTGCTCCTCACTCACATCTCAGTGATGGTTTCTGGCAGGCTGGTGGGTATTTCAGTCAGTCCTTTCCCTCGGCAGTCCACTACATTATTACTGCAGGTGCACAACTCAGGACACTGCAGCACACTACAGGACGAGTGTGACTGGGGCCCTAAAACACACATACAGACAGATGACAAGGATGCAGGGGTGTGTGCTACACAAAGGAAGGCTGAGTCTAAAGGTTGAATTAAATTAAAAAACTTCCTCAAGCAAAAAAGTTGTGAACTGCATATTGCAACTAAATGCAGTTTGAAGTAAAGAAACGTTTTTGCCCACGTTATTTCAGCACAAATAACTTGCCTTCATTGAAGTCTTGAAAGCATGAGCAAAGAAAGAGAACAGCCACAAAAATGGACAGAATATGAAAGCTTTGACAAAACAAAACAGCAAATTCATGTATTTATTCTCTTTATTCTCACAAGCTCTTATCGCCTATAAACAAGCCACACAAATAAAACGCACACAAACTTACCTGTACACATAAACTCTTTCTTCTGAACCTCAGCAATGTTGTGGCCCCTCAGGGAGGGCGGAGCCATACACTGTGTGTAGAGGCCAAGGCGGGGCCTCTGTCTCAGCCAATCAGAGAGCCAGGCCACATGACAATCACACAGCAGACTATTTGAGTGCAGACGACTAGAGAAAGAAAGAGTCATTTGAAGGTCCGATGGCAGTCTAAGCTGATATGTGTCCATGTGTGTGAGAGAGTATCATCGACTTTGTGTCAGACAATTTCATGTTCATTAATTACAGTCTTTTACTTGCAGACAACGTGCAAACACACGCAGTGATTTCTCTGTTGGCTCTGGTGTTTCTGTGTGGTCAGCATCTTTAGGAGTCCTTCCCTTAACAAGATTAATGTTACAACGAAACTCTAACCATATTTAGTTGCAGTGCTAGGTAGATTACTTACTAATTGTAGTCAAATTACATGACGAAAATTGTAGTTAATAAAATAATCTGGATCTGAATCGAATCATTTATTTTTTTCTCTTGAAATAAATTGGTAACTATGACAACAGTTTTATTTTAGCATTATTCATATACTTATAATACCTCTTAATATTTTGAACTACCTTTTTTCAGTTGACCTATTTTCAGTTTTCATTTAAGTTCTATTAATTTCATAATGTGCTTCTGTCATTTATAAGGTATTATGTTTATTTTATTTAGCTTTAAAACATTTTTAAGTTTTAGTTTTAGTATTTGTAGCACTTCAACTTATTTCAATTAGTTGCCATGACATTATTCCTTATTTTCATTTTTTTTTTATGTTTTTCATCTAATAATTATATTTTATTTTATTTCAGTATTATTTCAATCTGCAAAAATGATTAAAAAAAATTTTTTTTTTAGTTTTAGTTACCTTTTTAGTTTTTAGTAACCACAGTATAGGACGATTTACTAGCAATCTATCATTTGATAGGGGAAAATGTCTGACCTTTCACACTAGCCAAGTATGTTTCATGGTCTTAATGGTCTTTCCCATCTTGGCATTCACTGGCTTTCTTTCCATCATCTATTGCTGACGTTTAGCTAACAAGGACTAGAATGCCAATATAGCAATTATCTACTTTAGCTCATCATTTAAATGGGATTAAATCATGATCGCACACAAAGGACTCCAATCTACAAAATGTATGCTAATGAAACATACATATTAATGTGGTTATTACACTCTATTACCCCATAATCACACTTATTAAGGGCCAGCATGATAAGTGCTGGATAACATGCCAACGACAGTCTGAAGAACTGGTTTAATGCAGTTTGAGTGTGTGTGTGTGTGTGTGTGTGTCAGATACTCACAATGTCCTAAGCTTGGGCATGTGATTAAAACTGGCCACTGACAAACGAGATATATTGTTGTTGTTCAGTGTGCTGTGAAACAAAGACAGAGAAAGATAATCACAAACATATATAATAATAAGGGATAGTTCACCAGATGAAAGTGAATGGTTACCACAGCTGCCCCTGGTTCCCATTTACTTTCACTGTATAAAAAAAGAGCATCTTAGACATTATGCTAAATAACTCCTTTGGTGTTCTGCACGAAAAAAGTGCTTTGGAATAGACTAGTTTGTTCTTAGGAAGAGTGAGTGAACTATCCTTTTAATGTTTTCCTACTACAATATTCCATACACAATCTTTTACAGTTGATTTGACTTTTTTTTTTGCAGTATATCAATATGCCTTCATGCACGTGTGTGGTTATATGCAGGGAACCAGATGCGCATCTGCTCTAACACAATACAGCTCATAAACCGTCTTCTGTCCATTTGTCACAAAGCATCATCAAAATAATCCTAGTAAAATAATCTGACACAATCCCATTGATTCCATTCTCTCTAACAGGATTATTCCACTGATCCCACTTTAAAAAGCAGATATGCATTTTATACAATCGTTCAACACTCAGCAGGCACGATCTGACAGCAGAACACGGCATGTCGTCTACATACAGAGAAATCCATACCAATTTAACATGAATATACCATTTTTTAATCAAAGTTTCTGGAACAGTCCCCCAAACCCGGTGTGGCCCTGCTTTGACCCACGTCTAATACGACCATGATATCTGAAAAGATCTCTGCAGTGGCTTTAATTCAACAGAACACAATCACGCAAGTTCACACACACACACACACACACATGCAGTATACTTACAGTACTTCTAGGTCCCGCAGAGCTCTGAACGCTCCGTCTTCAATGCAGGAAATCTGATTATAGTCCAGCTGCCTGAGAGAGAAAAAACAGAGAGATAATGTTTGAAGATGATGATGTCGGTTCTTTTGCTTGGTGTTCAATGAATATGGTAATAGAGTAATACACTCTCATAAACATTACTGATCCTTACTTTAAAAAAACACATACATCCTTCACTCTCCTGTCCTTCAATGTTTTTTTCTCTCACTCATTTTGCTGTCAGTCTTCCTCCCCATCACTGTTCTTCACTTTTCAGCCTTCTCAGTCTGTCTGCTGTGCTCTCCTCCACTATTGTCTACCTGCACTGCCCACTCCTCCCACATATGTGTGTGTGTGTGTGTGTGTGTGTGTGTGATGGTCAGTTTGCCTGGGCATCTCATTAAAGCACACAATCATTAATTCAAAGCTCTCTCTCTCTCTCTCTCTCTCTCTCTCTCTCTCTCTCTCTCTCT